CATGAAGAGATGGATAAATCCCTAAAAATATGCAACCTTCCAAGACTGAATAAGAAATATAAACAGACCAATAAAGAAAAAGGAGACTGAATCAATAACCAAAAAGTCAAAAAAACTACAAGACCAAATAAGTTTGCTGGTGAACTCTGTCAAACATTTAGTTACCACAAATTCCTATCTAACATTAAAAAAATTGAACATAATTTTTAAAAAAGCTTCAATCTTATATTCATTCCTGATAAATATAGATGCACAAATCCACAATAAAATACTAGCAAACTGATTTCAATAGCACAGTTAAGATCACACATGACAAAGTATGCATTATCTATGAGATGTAAGGATGGATAGTTACACAAATCAATGTGATAGCAAAAAAAAAAAAGAACAACATTATACCACATTAAGAGAATGAAGGATAAAAATATGATTCTCTTCATGTATGCAGAGAAACCATTTGATAAAATTAAATATTAGCAAATCAAGTACATAAAGGAATGTACCTCAACAAAATAAAGACAATATAGAAAAGGCCAGAGTTAACATCATATCCATAGTGAAAAGTTGAAAGTTTTTCCTCTAAGATACAAAATCAGATCGGTTGTCGCCACTGCTTTTCTACAGTGTTAGAAGTCCTAGCCAGAGTTATTAGGTAAAAGAAAGAAAAAGCATGCCAAAAAGAAAAGAAGGAAAACTGTATTTACAGATGGCATTATCTAATAGGTACAAACCCCTAAAGTTTCCACCAAAAAACAAATCCCTGTTAGAACTTGTAAGTAAATGCAATAAAGTTGGGGAGGACAAAAAAAATACATGAAAATAAGGTAAGTCTATACACTAAACAACAAGTATTTGTAAAACAAATAAGCAAAAATCCATTTATAACAGTATCAAAATAAATCTAATAAAATATTTGGAAATAAAGTGATAAAAGATCTGAGGACTAAAATTTATGAAAGAAATTGTAGACACAAATAAATGGAAGAATAACCTGCTTTCATTAACTGAAAAAATTAATATAGTTAAAATGGCTATAATATACAAAGTGTTACATGACATTTTTGTGGAATTGGACAAAGCAATCCTGAAATTCATATGAAACCACAAAAAAACCATAACTGTCAAAGTAATCTTGAGCAAAAGTAATAAGCTGGAGGCATCACACACTATGGGACTGCAAAACGTACTTCACAAATTGTGAAAAACCGATTTCTGTCAAAAGTGCAAGAACATAGCAGTGGAGAAAACATAGCCTTTTTAATAAACAGTGTTATAAAAATAGAATATGCACATGTAGAAGAATCAAACTTGTCCCTTATCTCATTCTCTGTATAAAAAAACTCAAAATGTATTAAAACCTTAAAAGTAAGACCCAAAATAATAAAACTAAAAAATTTAACTCTAATTTTCCAATGCAGTAAGACATTAAGAATTTCTTTTACTAAAGCAATTAGAGTCTGACATTAAACAAATATACACAAGCATACTACTGTAAAAATTCTAAGTTCTTTAAAAATCATAAGCACAGAGTTTTTCATGTTTTAAAACAGAACAGAAAATTTTATACCTTAAGGTTTTTGATAGTTTTCAAAACATCAATTTCAGAAGGTATGTGGACATTTTCACATTATTCTAATATCCACTAATGCATTTGTCCTTTGCAATATTCTGGACACTGGGATAGAGCCTGAGAATGAATTTCTGGAAAGTCCATGTGGGATATCAAAATTACTCAAGAAGAAAATAGGCTCACTACAATTAAAGAAATAACAATTAAAGACATTTCTAAATAGCATTATCTAAAAATAGTATCAAAATTCTGTGATCAACTTAGAATAGCTCTCAAACACATTATACCAAATAGTTTCTTTAGTATTTCTTCAATCTGAGAGTATAGTGCAAGTAACTATAAAGTTGGAGTTTTATTATCTTTACTAACATTTACTTGAATGACTTACAATTTTAGTCAATCAAAATTGTTGAGAAATAATACTTGTTTTAATAAAGTACTACATTAAAAAATAGAGTTCCTTGAAGATGAAAAGTTAAGGGCAAGTCAATCATGTATCTAGCACTAAAATTTCTAGCAAAAATAATCACACTTGACTTAGCCTAAACTTTGTTCTATATAAAGATTTCTTCTACCTTTGAGATATAGTTTATTTTATAAGACACTGACATTATATGAGATTTTAAAGCAATGTTTAAAAAAGAAAAGAAAACTTTACTGAAATAAAGGGAATGAAAACACAAACTAGACTCTTAAAACTTCATTTTTCTGAGATGGAGGTCTCACTATGTCTCAGGTTGGCCTCGAAAATCTTAGGTCAAGCAATCCTCCTGCCTCAGCCTCAATTATGGGTGTGCACCACCAGACCCAACTAAAGCAACTTACTTTGACTATCTGCTCAAGGTTGGACTATTTTTCCACACTGTAACTATACGTGTTATCAAATACTGAAAAAATAATGCTCTGATAGTAGCATTAAATAATGCTATGATAGTAGTGAGAGAGATGATAGAAAGGAAGAAAAGAAATTCCAGACAAATTTTTTTCATTCAATTTTATCCACAGTTTGCATCGGTAATATACACTTAGTGGTCCATTTATTTTTAAATGCATCAGAAAATCAGTTATGATAGGTCTGTGCCTAATACAAACATTTCTGAATTCTTCAAAAAATGCAGTTAGAAAATTCATTAAACTAGCATTCTATAAAGATAATTATTATACAAATGGTTATGCGTTTTACTCACTTTAATTCTAACATATCCAACATCACTGCTTTCTTGTGCCACACAATCATGGAATACCTATCTATTGAATTTATTAGGACCCAACAAAATAGTTTGATTATTCAACCATCATCATATCACAAATCCATTCAAATAATGAAAATGATTCTTAATTCAATGAGCAATGGAGTAATACAGAGTAACTATAAAGCTATTTAGAATAAAATTTACACTTAAAAACTGCTAAATGAAATACACCAGAGCCTTGGTATAATGTTGCCTTTGTAGATTATGCTGTTGATGCTGCTTAGACATGGTTTTGCCTTTAGGTATAATACTAAATGAACTATCAAGGTATGGATCTCAGATGGTTCCACTTTCAATGCGATTCTGATTTACTGTAAAGAATGGACAGTGAAATTCTGCTTCATTTTCTTTGTACAGTAATAGTTAACCAGCAGGTGTAATACAATAAGGTAATGATCAACAGTTTCATTACCATTTCAATAATGAAGCACAAAAACCTGAAAAATAATAAATGCTAGATTAAGAAGAATTTTATAGCACAATAACTATGAAAGAAGTACGAATGATTGTTGTGATTTTTAAAAGTTACTTGATTTGTGATGCTCTTAAATTTCTAAATTTAAAACTGGATAACTAAGGTACTCACTAGGAATTGCTTAACTATATTTATACAAATTTTTACTAGGGATGTTAATTGTATCAATAAGGGTTTTCCCCCTTCTAAGGCTTAGATCCAACTGAAAATTTACAAGTATTTAGCTCAAATATTTAAAGTAATAAATTATTAATAATTTAATTTTTAAACTTTACAGTCATAAGAAGCTTTGATTCTTTACAAGCTCTGATTTGATCCATGGGGAATGAAAAAACACATCAATATTATAAAGCCAAAATTTAGTTATATGGCTTCTTGCCAGCAGACCAAAAAAAGTAGAGTTGTCTCCTAAACCAACGTTTACTACACCATTTGGCACACTACTTTTTTACCTTGTATATATATCCTTTAAAATACCCAGGCCAGCATTTTTAATAAGTTGCATCCATATTAAGAGGTAATAAGTGCAAATAATCACATATTTAAAATATGATACTTGTTTGGCTACTACAAAAGTAATTATCAAGGTTCATCTATAGGAAACAGAGTTATTTGTTATAGTGATATTTTGGAAAAAGTTCCTGCACTACTACCAACATAAATTTATCCATCTCTAAATCAAACAAGGACTTTATGTAACATACAAGTTCATGGAAATATTTCTGGAATGTACTGTTTTTAACATCAAGTCAATTGAGCATCACAAGATGTGCAATAGCTACAAATGGCCAAACTAAATAAAATCCTATTCCTCAATTGCTGCTGAGTACAGCTAAAAGCAGCACTTGATGTAATGTTCCTGAAATTCAAGATATAAATCCAAACTTTGGCAGCTTTATCAAAATGTCCTTGATCATTAGTACTTCACTAGTTTTCAAATTCTTGTGTAACATTTTTCAATACAGAAATAAAATACTCTCAAATAATACATTTTAAAAGATGATTAATTTTTGTGAAATTAAATAGCATAAATTAAGCATAATAACATTTTGACAACATGAAATAACCAATTTAAGGAAAACAGCAAGTTATTAACTAAAAATTGACAAATGTCACAGTGTGAGGCACATTTAAAATCCTCACATACTACTGACCTTACAAAATTCACTGAAATCTTTTAAAATCCCATTGATTCTATTAATACATAAAAAGAAAATTCAAAAATGCTTAGGGCTATATAAGATTCATCAATTACACAGGCACTTCACATGTAAACAATCTACAGTACAACTGAAAATATTTTGGCACAAACCTATAGTACTAAAAGAATTTAATACCAGAGTTGTTTTGTCTACTCATTTTTTCTAGAAAACTAAGACCAAGGATTGAAGAAATAATATATAAACTAGAAGTGTATTGAATAACTCAAATATAGGACTGTTCAAGTTGCTAAAAAATTGATTATATTTATCCAGATGTGTACTAGTAGGCTATGATATAAAAACAATTAAGCCTAATCATATTTTAAGTTCAGTATTAATCTGCTTTTTGAAAAATAATTAGTTATTAACAGTAAAAGGAGAAAATTTGTCAAAACTCTTATTAAATTGAACCTGTTTTTCCCTAAAAGAAGTTTGATGTCTGAATGTAATTTTGTTAAAAACCTAAGGCTTGACCTAAGGCAAATTATTTTTGACTGGATTCTCTTCATGAATTAAAGATATCTGAAATCACTTCAAAGAAATGAAAGTATACACTTCCGATTTTAAAAAGGTTGTATCAGGCCATAGAAAGTTGAGATGTCTTGGTTGTAGGTAACTCAAGGAGTGCCTGAACTGTGACACCAACTTTCACAAGACCTCGTTCTTCCAAAATATGGTGAGGCAAACAGAGTCTTTCCTGGTAAAGAAAAGAAAAACAGATATTTGAGCATCCAGGTTTTTAGTAGTGTTATACAATAATAAAACTTAAACATATTTTCGATAAGCTTCAAGTAAAAAATACAATTCTATATTTTCTCTAATAATACAGCAAAGGTTTCTAAAGGAACCTTTGTCATTCACTAGTCAACCAGTATTGTTCAGTTTCCCTAAAACATTTGCTCTGGTAAAAACCAACAATGCGTTCTTGAATATCAAATATTATCCATGACTACTTGACTGATCTTGTCATGTCATATCTTAGTTAATACCTTTTGTGACACAACTCTTATTTTTCCAACTTTTCTCAAGCCAGTGGCCTTCACTGATATAATATTTCCAAGGATCCATCATCATTTTCTCTCTTCTACATTCTACATTTTACATTCTTTTCATTCTACATTCTTTCCTTAGCATTTTCATGTATCTCTTCAACTCTGATGACCTCCAAGTTTTTATTTCCTCTCAAGATCTATTAAACGAATGCCAATAGGACATAGCCAAATGGATGTCTTACAGACCTATCAAAATAAATGTGTTCACAGTAAAACTCTTCTTCACTAAATAAGCTAAATCTATTGAATGTGGAAATCATAATTGCCTTCTCTTTTTGTTACTTCTATTACTCATTTACCAATATTAATGATGATTGCTTAACAGTTCTTAAAAACTATCTTCTGATGGGGGTAAAGAGGGAGAATGCAGTCAAGAATCCATTGTAGCTGGGCAAGAGTAGCTCATGCCTATAATCCTAGCTACTCAGGAGGCTGAGATCTGTGGGGGGGGGGTTGGTTCAAAGTCAGCCCAGGCAGAAAAGTCAGTGAAACTCTTATCTCCAATTAACTACAAAAAGCCAGAAGTGGTGCTGTGCTCAAGTGGTAGAGCACTAGCCTTGAGCACAAAATCTTAGGACAGGACCCAAGCCCAGAGTTCAAACCCCAGACCAGCAAAAAAAGGAGGAGGGGATTTATTGTATATACCACAAAATTAAGAAAACTAAGGAAAGGAGTTGGTCAAAAGGGAGTTATAATGTTTAAAGGGGTGACAATGATCAAGATGCATTGTATTCATAAAATGTTTTGTTATGTGGCATCTCTTTTGTACAACTGAAAATAATTTTAAACATTTAAAGAAAGGTATCATCTCCACTTTCAAGATCCAGGACAATTCATTGCTGAATTCTACCACATCCTTACAGAACTAACACAAATTGAAGGGATGGGTGGGGTTGGGATAAATGAGGGAAAATGTTCAAAGCAGTGACACTGATCATAAACTAACATGTTGAATTAAAACCATTTTGTACAACTACATACAGATAATAAAAAATACTTCTCAAACTATACCATAAAACAGAAAGAAAAGTAATGCTACCAATTTCATTCTAAGAATCCAATATTACTCTGACACTAAATATGGAAAGGAAAAATGGAAAAAACAATGATAGACAAATTTCTCTGATAAACACTGACACAAAAATTCTCAGTATGGTACTTGCAAACAAAATTCAATACTACATAAAAAAGATAATAGTATCAGGCATAAAATTAATTTCACTCCATATAGGCAAGTATGGTTCAATATATGCAAATGAATATACATTGTACAGCACATAAGTAGGAAAAAAAGAAAAACCACTTGATTTTTTTTATCAAATACAGGAAAAATTTTGAAAAACTCAACATTTATTATTTCATAATAAAAGCTTTGATGAAAATGAGGAATAGAAGTAATAACAACATAATAAAGGTTATACAAAACAATATCCAATGTCATATTGAATAGGGAAAAACTGAAACCATTTCCTCTAATGGCGGGAATGAGGCTGCATTGTACATGCTCTCAACTGTTATTTAATATGATTCTTGAATTTTTAGCTAGAGCATTGAGGCAAGAAAAGAAATTAAACTAAAACAAAAAGAAAGGAAGAAGTAAATTTACCCTACTTACAGATGACATGATCTGACATTTAAAATACCTAAAAGACTCCCACAGAAAATTCGCTTTTTTATTGTGAAAATACTGTACAGAGGTGTTACAATTGCATGGGCAAGATAATGAGTACATTTCTTATCAAACATTGTAGCCTCCTCCTTTATTTCCACTTCCCATCCTCCCTCCACCCCCCCATCTAATCCTCCCCAACCCCCCCTCCCACAGAAAATTCTGAAACCTGATGAACACTGGCCAAATGATAGGATACAAAATTAGTATGTGAAGTTTGTGGACCAATAAAGAATAACCTAAGAATAAAATCAGAAGAAGAATTTCATACAAAATAGCCTCAAACAAATCATTTAAATAGGGATACAGGTGGACCCATTGAGATGTACAAGTCGTTATATCGAAAAACGAACTTTACAACTTTGGTAGGGGGGGCAGAGGATTGGGTAGAGGGGACGAGGGTGGGGATGGGAAGGGGAAACAAAGGAGGAGGCAACAATGCTTGATAAGAAATGTACTCATTATCTTGCCCATGTAATTGTCACCCCTCTGTACAGTATTTTCACAATAAAAATAAAAGAAATCCAGAAAATCATCATAAAAAATTTAAAAAATAAAAAATTGCCTCAAAAATTACTTAGGATTAAACCTTATTACTCAGGTTAAAGGTCACTACAATAAAAGTTATAAAACTTCAAAGAAAAAATTTTAAGATGCTAAAACATGGAAAGACTGTGCTCATGGATCAGCTGATTTAATATTGTGAAAATAGCTAAATGACTGAAACTAATCTACATATATAAAGCAATTTTGAAAAATCTTCATTTTTTGTATTTATCAGTTTTAATTTTTTCTATTCTTTATTGTGAAAATACCACACAGAGAGGTTACAATTATATGGACAAGGTAATGAGTACATTTCTTATCAAGCATTGTTGCCTCCTCCTTTGTTTCCCCTTCCCATCCTTTGCCAACTCCCCCCTCCACCCCCTATCCCCCCAACCCTGCTCGGCCAAAGTTGTAAAGTTCGTTTTTCAACATAATGACTTGTACATCTCATTGTTGCAATGGGTCCACCTGTATCCCTATTTAAACGGTTTGTTTTTGCCCTTCCCCTCCACAAATTATACCAACATCAAACACAATGAAAGCAGGAGTTATACCATGGGGGAGGGACATACAAAGCAACAAAGAAATCATCTTATAAATATGTTAGAAACAATAGCAAGAAAGAAAAAAAATCAATTGAATACTTATCTTGGGGTTCATTTCACCTAACATCAACTTATCTGACAGTTTGTTTGTCTCAGATATATACTAGTTACTGCAAATAAGGGAAACCATGGGACCTATGTTTCTTAGGGCCTGGCTAACTTCACTCAATATAATTTGTTCCAAGTCTTTCCATTTCCTAACAAATGGGGAGATGTTATTCTTTCTGATGGAGGCATAGAATTCCATTGTGTATATATACCACATTTTCTTGATCTATTCATCTACTGAGCGGCATCTAGGTTGGTTCCATATCTTAGCTATGGTAAATAATGCTGCAATAAACATAGTTGTGCTGGTAGCTTTAGTGTGGCCTTGTTTGTGATCATTTGGGTAAATGCCCAAAAGTAGGATTGCTGGGTCATAAGGGAGCTCTCTGTGGACTCTTTTGTGGAACCTCCATACTACTTTCCAAAGTGGTTGAACAAGTTTACACTCCCACCAACAATGAAGTAAAGTTCCCTTCTGTCCACATCCCCTCCAACATCTGTTGTTATAAGAGTTCTTGATTTTTGCCATTCTAACTGGGGTGAGGTGGTATCTCAATGTTGTTTTGATTTGCATTTCTTTTATGGCTAGGGAGGTTGAGCATTTCTTCATGTGTCTATTGGCCATCCTTCTTTCCTCTTCAGAGAAGTTTCTCTTTAAGTCTTTGGCCCACTTATTTATTGTGCAGTTGTTTCTTTGAGGACTTGTTGTTGGGGGATTTAATTTTTTTAGTTCCAAGTATATTTTAGATATGAGACCCTTGTCCGTTGTATGGCTAATGAAAGTCTTCTCCCAATCCATGGGCTTTCTATTGATCTTGCTAGCTATGTCCTTTGCCATGTAGAAGCTCTGCAATTTCATGCAATCCCATTTGTCAAACCTTTGTTTGATTTCTTGTGTTTCTGGGTCTCTATTAAGAAAATTTCAACCTGTGCCAAAGAGACCTAGGGTTTCTCCCATTCCATCCTGTAATGTTTTCAGAATGTCTGCTTTGACTCCAAGGTCTTTGATCCATTTGGAGTTGATTCTGGTGCAGGGTGATATATAAAGATCTAGCTTTAGTTTTCTACAAGTGATTAACCAGTTTTGCCAGCACCATTTACTGAAGAGGCTGTCTTTCTGCCATTCTATTTTTTTAGCTCCCTTATCGAAGATTATATGGCTATATGTCTGTAGGTTCATTTCTGGGTTTTCAATTCTATTCCATTGGTCCTGAGGTCTGTTCTTGTGCCATTACCAAGCTGTTTTGATTACTATGGCTTTGTAGTAGAGTTTGAAATTTGGTATTGATATTCCTCCAGCACTGTTCTTTCTGTTAAGGATGATTTTTGCTATTCAGGGTCTTTTATGAAAGAGAAAGTTCACTACTGAACTCATTCTATGAAGCCATCATAACCTTCATCCCAAAACCAGGCAGGGACTCATCAAAGAAAGAGAACCATAGACGACCCATTTCTTTGATAAACATTGGTGCACAACTTCTCAACAAAATTTTAGCCAATTGACTTCAACAATTCATCCAAAAAATCATACACCATGATCAAACCTGATTCATTTCAGGGATGCAAAGCTGGTTCAATATATACAAATCAATTACTATAATTCATCACATCAACAAGAGCAAGGATAAGAACCACATGGCTATCTCAATAGATGCAGAAAAGGCATTTGATAAGATCCAACATCCCTTAATGATGAAGGTTCTGGAAAAACTAGGAATCCAGGGAACATTCCTCAATACAATAAAGGCTATATATGACAAACCCACAGCCAGCATTATGCTTAATGATGAAAAACTAAAGCCATTTCCTCTTAACTCAGGAACGAGACAAGGATGTCCACTCTCTCCACTTCTCTTCAATCTAGTATTAGATGCCTA